CAAATTTGAAAACCCAGGAGAAATGAACAAATTCCTAGAAACACACTATCTACCCAAATTAATACAGACTAATGTAGAAAACGTCAACAAACTGCTAACAAAAGAAAAAAATCCTGAGCCACCGTCCATCAACTGCTATCCACTCAAGATCCAGAACATCCAGTGATGGGTAACAATGCCCTGGGGTAAAAGTGCAAACTGGCCAAGAAGCCTGAATGATATGATGGCGGGGCCAGCCAGCGTGAAGTAACTGAGCAAGGCCCTGAATTACCGAATGAAGAGAGGAATCTTTTTTCTGTTGCTTATGAAAATGTTATAAGAGTCTTTAGTCTATCTTGGAGGGTCATCTCATGCAATGAGCAAAATTTGGAAGGTGCTGATAAAAAAAAAAAAGCCGATGGCTGGAAAAGACTTGAAAATACAAAGAGAAAATTGAGACTGAGCGAACAGAGAGCTGCAATGTTGTACTGCATCTTGTGAAAAAGTCCTTGCTCCCAGATGCTTCCCAAGGAGAAAATGAAAGGAGATGACTACGCTTACTTGGCTAAGGTTGCTGATGTGATGACAAGAAAAGATTGTGGATCTATCACAATCAACATAACTAGAAGCTTTTGAAAGCAGTAAAAAGAAATACAGTAAATGCTGCCTATCAGATTGGTTCTGACCATTAACTTCTCTGTGTTCTATTACGAGATTCTGATCTCCCCACAGAAAGCTGCTCTCTTACAAAGACAGCTTTTGATAAAGCCATTTCGAAACTTGAAATATTAAGTGAAGAGTCATGCAAACACAGCTGCTTTCTTCATGAATGATGTTCCTGATGTTCTTCTACAGTTCATCAGGTCTTCTGTGATTATTGTTCAATGCATCAAACCTGTTCTTCAGATGTTCTTGAAATTCAGGTGGGACAGACTCAAGTTTGTGTTTTGGCTCTTGTGGACTTGTTTTAATTTTCTTCAGCTTTATTGATGTTTCTGTTCCACAGTCAGCCCCTGGCCTAGTTTTAGCTGCTAATATTGAGCTTCTTCACTGTCTCTTCCCACAAATGTAATCAATTTGATTTCTATGTATTCCAACTGGAGAAGTCCATTTTGTATTGTTGAAAAAAGGTAAATGCTATGAACAAATTGTTGGTCTTGCAAAATTCTATCATGTGATCTCCAGCTTTTTTCCCTAATACCAAGAGCATAATATTTCTACAACTACTGTTCCTTCCTCTTTGTTTCCAACTTCGGCATTCCAGTCGCCAGTAATTTTCAAGGCATCTTGATCGCATCTTTGATCAATTTCTGAATGAAGATGTTGGTAGAATTCTTCAATTTCCTTATTACTAGCTTTTGTTGTTGGTACATAAATTTGCATAATAACTGTACTGATTGCATTTTCTTGAAGGGTGATAGGTATGTTATCATGGACAGTATTGTGCTTCATGATCGACATTTCACAATGTCTTCTGGACAATCAGTACCTTTCCTCTTGCTCTTGTCATTCCTAGCACAGTAAATCATGTGCTTTCCTGATTCAGAACAGCCCAAACCAGTCCATTTCAGCTCACTAGTGCCTAGAGTATTGATTTTTTATTCATTCCATTCATTTTCAAATGATTTTCTTAAATTCATGCTTTTTATATTCCAAGTTCTGATTATTAGAAGATCTTTGCAGCGGTTTCTTTTTCCTTGAATTGTATTGCATCAGCAAATAAATATCCCAAAGATTCCACTCCCACAGTCTTTACTCCACTCATACCACGGTCGACTCTAATTTGGGAAAGCTACCCCTCCTCAGTCACATTTTCTGTGCTTTCCATGCTGAGGTGCTCATCCACCGGCACTATCGCCTACAATGTTCTTCCATTCCTTAGGCCTGCAGTATCTGACAATGCTTCAAGGCTATGCATAAGGTTTTCAGCCGTTACTTCCTCTGAAGTGGGCAGCGGAGTCCTTCTACATTGTCTGTTCTTAGTCTAGAAGTTCCATTGAAACCTGTTCACTTTGGATGACCCTACAGGCATTGATTGATATAGTATTATCTTTAACGTTACTATTTTTCTATCTACCTTTTATGTCAATTATAGAGGAGCACTGATATTCAACTACAATTACTGATTTGTGTATTTCATTTTCACCATGGTTTGCTTTTTATGTATTTGAAGTTATTAGATATGTAAGCAAACCTTGAAGAAAAGGATTCTGTTCCAGACCACCACAGTAAAGCTAAAATTGCAATAAAACCAGTGAAGCAAACTTTTGGTTTCCTACTGTATCTAAGTTATGTTTACCGACTATTGACGGAGTCAAGTGTAGAGGACACTTGAGCTGCTAAATGCAAAGTCAGCAGTTTGAGCCTAACAGCTGAGCTGCAGAATAAAGATGAGGCTTTCTGTTCCCCTAAATCTGTTCCAAGATTTACAGTCTTGGAAAATGAAAGGAGCAGTTATACTCTACCCTATAGGTGCACTGAATCAGAATTGGATTAATGACTGTGAGTTTTTCTTCTTTGGTTTGGTAGTTTATTAAGTGTATAATAATTTTGTTCATTTTCTAATTGTTATTTGTAGGAGGAAGAAAAGGAACCACATATAGGGTTAGGAGGATATTGGTGATTTTATATGTGAGATAGGCTGTGTAAATAGGTTCAGTATGTTTCTTTAAAAAATATTCCTTCAGATTTCTTATCCATTGAATCTACATAAATAGTGGTCTGAGTGACAAGAGAGAGAGAGAGAGAGAGAGTAAAATTGGAATGGAGCCTTTGGTGCCAAACAAGTTCATCTTAAACAAACAAACAAAAAAGGTTTGTAATATTCTGAGAATCACCAAAATGTAAGAGATATGGAGTGAATACATACTATTGTAAAAATTACACCAATAAACTTGCTCAAGAGGGTTATCACAAACTTTCCATTTGTAAAAAATGAAGCGTATACAAAGCGTCTTCATAGGGAGATGCCATCATCTTTTCATTACATTTTCTCATAAAGTTTTAAAAGTCCCCTCACATTTAGAATTTTATGTTTTGCTGTAAACATTAACCCCTTAATGCCAAATCCACGCTCCATTATTTTTCCACCTGGACTTTATGCTAGGTATCTGAAATTTATAGTTGGTATTTTTGCCTTTCTGATTTTGGCCAGGAAGAGACAACAGCTGGAACTTGGAGAACAGAGGGGAAGGATGTTTGGGTACATAAGTACCTCCCTATCTGAACTGCAGGTTGCCAGCAGGAGCGTCTCTTGAATAAGCCAGTTCTTTCAGGTGAAAGTCTACAGCACCAGTCTCAATGAACTTTGTTAATTCTTGCACTCCCTTAAATCAGGATGAAAATAGATTGTTTATTAACTCTTTAGGTACCCTGTTAGCAGTCAGCAGTAGGTTATGCGCGGAGCTAACCAAAAAGTCATCGTTTCAAACCCACCTGGTGTTCCACAGGAGAAATATGTCTAAGTCGGTAAAGATGTCGGAAACCCACCAGGGCAGTTGGGTTTGGTTTTTGGTTTTAATTTGCCCTGTGTGCTTCAGTATTACTTTTTGTTTTGTTTGCTCTGTCCACACCTTTGTAAATTGCCCTTTCTTGGTACCTTTCAATCAATCACCTTTAGCATGCCATCTTGAACAGACAAGGATATTAGCTCACCTAGCCCAATTGTCAAAAGATGTGCTGTTATAACAAAGAGTTACGATAGATTCCCTAAGCACTAATCGATGGCTGCTGCCAAACTATGGTAGAAGTACAGGCAACTGAAAATGCAAATTGCAACAGGGTATTTGAATTCGAAATGACAGTTTTCTTGAGTCTCACGACGATGAAATGTGTTCACTTGACTTAAGACCCCAAATCTTCTGTGTCGATTTTGAAGAACACTTATATGAAACAAAGCAAAAAACAACGCTGAGAGTGGGCTACAGCTTTACAAAAGTGCTAAGCCTGTTCACAGTAGTGGCGAGGGAACATCTTTCCAAGGCGAGGGAAAAGGGGCTTTTATACCAAAAGCAAGAGGCACTTGACTGCGTTTGCCAGCACTGGACTACCCTGATTTGTACTCTCGCCGGACCCGCAATCCAACGGAAGACACCCTCCACAAGTTTCAGGACATTGAGCGGGAAGAGGTTGGCGTGGACCCGGAGTGTGAGCGAGATAACTGTTCGGAGCTAACTTCAGAGAAATGTGCTTCTCCCTACCTACTCCAAGCAGGTGGTCTCTCCACTCCCAGAAAGCAGTTCCGTGTTTACAAAGAAAAACAAAAAACCCACGTGCATCCCGGTAGGCAGTCGCAGACTGCCAACTCTCGCGAGAACTGAGATTTCCCCAGCCTTCCCCGCAGAGTTCTCGCGAGCTTCGGCTGCCCTCCCTCCCAGTTCCGCCTAGGGGGCTGCGTCGTGGCTCCGCCCTCCCGTGTGCGCGCGCAGCGTGGCGGGAGTTTTGCTTGGATTCCGGAACTGTAATCTGGACCCCTGGGGGCGGCGCCTGGGAGTGGGAAGAGTGGCTGGTGAGACCCGTCGGGTGGATATGGGGGAGCCTGGGGAATTCACCTGTGCGGGCCCCGGCTCCACTCCTCTCTAGCCCCGCGGGCCCGGCACGCCTCACCCAGGAGCCTGGGAGGCTTGGGGGCCGGCACCCCGCATTGGCCTCTTATCGCCCGCCGAACCGCGAGGGTGCCTCCTCCACCAGGCTGCGGGGAAACGGGCCCGTGGCGGCTTCGTAAGGCAGCCGAGGGTGCCGTTCGACCCAGTTAGAACCTGGATCTGTCCTTGCAACTGCTTCCGGCCCACCGCTTCCCTGCGGCCCGAGGCTGCACTGTCCGACCCACAGGACGGATTTTCAAGTCGCTGCCAGAGCTAATCGAGCGAGCATTTTGCCTTAATGTTGACAGCGTTACTTTCAGGTCATGGGAAGGTTGGGGACTTGGCTTCTCAATTTGTTTTGTTTTCTTTCCCTTTGTGAGGGGAGTAGGGTGCTCTCACTTGAGGGTGTAGCCCTCAGTCTCAGCCCTCCCCACCTTTAGGAATCTCTTCAAAATCGGGAATGGCGATCCCAATAAATCCCTTGCATTTCAGGACATGAAGTAAACAATGGATAACTGTTCCGCTGCGTCGACGTTCCTGACCGACAGCTTGGAGTTGGAACTTGGGACCGAATGGTGCAAACCCCCTTGCTTTTCTTGTGCTTTTGATGATAGAGGAGGAGGAAGAACTTTTTCTGGAGAGTCTTACCTTTCTAGCGGATCTCTTAAGCGGTAGGTAAAAAAAGAGACACTTTGGGGGTTTCCCTTATCAGATTATATTTCATCAATTTGTTCGAAATGCTAATTAATTTTGATTTCTGTCAAACTTGAGTTTCACCAAAAGTTGTTTTGAAGTCAGTTAAGAACCACATGGGTGGAAACTAATAGACTTTCTATTAAGAGAGTATTCAGAAGTATTTGGGATACTGAGAACTACTTCCTCATGGTAACTGATGCTGTCTTATCCCTTTGCTACCTCAGTTTTGGGCGTTAATTTCCCATTTGCTTATAATGAATTCGGAACTGCCTCAGCTTTTTGAAAGCATGCATGGTTTTTGTTGCCTCAAACCAACCCTCTTGCCACCATTCAGAAAGATCCTGTAGGGTTCCTGAGACTTGACATCTTTCCAAGTGCAAACAGCCTCAGCTAGTCTTTGAATTGCTGACCCTGCCTAACCTACTGCACCAGCAGGGGTCCTAGTGGGCATCTACTTCCTTCTCCCAAAAACCACACTGACTGCTGCAGAGGGGATGTCTAGTCAGAGCGACTTTCTACTCTTTACTGACCTAGCCTTTGAAGAAGACTTTCCAGTGTTGCAGATTGTGTAGGTTCACAGAGATATTCTTCAAAGTTGAGGGATTAGGCAGGTGTGTACATATTGCAGTGAAGCTGATATTCTTGAAATGCTGTGGTAGGAATAAGCATTTGAGATTACCCAACTTGATTATCCTGTTCACCAGACATGGCTCAGAATCACTTTTAGCTGGTTTTTACAAAAGTTAAATGCCTTTACACTGGATGAAATTCTACCAAACCAAAACAACAAATGAAGATGAACACAAATATGCTCCGTAAGCTTTTTTTGCATTTTTCACCTTAGGTTCTACATTGTTCTTTAGTTGTACTTTTTAATCACCATATGTGACTACCTCTTTAATGCAGGCTCTCCTCTGTAGTAGTAATCATAGGTATGTAATGTATTTCTTGGACTTTATAACATTTTTGATATGTCACATAATAATGATATAAATTCATATAATATTAACACAGACTTAACATACTATGATAGCATCCTTTTATGAGATTAAATTGGGATTTTCTTTTTCCTTTCAGGCTAATTTTGAATCTTGATCCTTTACCAACCAATTTTGAAGAAGATACAGTGGAAATTTTTGGCATTCCATGGGTTACTGAAACTGCATTAGTTAATTCATCTAGAGAGCTTTTTCATTTATTCAGGTATGTTTGCTTTCCAAGAGTCTTGGCACGTAATGCACATATAATACAATTCAGTAGTTCAATCACATCAAGAAGAGTTGTACAATCAGTGTTAGTGTTTGTTTTTATAACTGCCTTTAAGTACAAAAGTTATTCCTTTTTTTTGGATTAGTTAGATGGCTGGGTAGTTTTTAAGGCTGAATGAGAAACCACCCAATAATGTAACATGAAAGGGAAATATCTACACTTGAAGATGCTTTTTTTTTTCATTGTTTGCTCTGTAAATGTTACGTTGAGTTACTTGATTATGCACCAACAATAATCATCAAGCATCAGTGGTAAAGTAAGGGTTTTGATGAGTTACCTTTTTAGTGACTTTTCAAAACCTTTATCTTCTATCAGATATGTATTATAGATAAATATTGAAGACTTTTCAGTATAGTATCATTTTTGAAAAACATTAAAGTACTCTTGTTGTTTAATATCCATAGATTTTAAACAATATTTAATCAGCTGAAATTCCCAAATATTTTTATTTTAAATTATGAAGTAGAAATATGATGTTTCCTATTTGAAGAATATGTAAAATATTTCAATGAAAGTTTTCAGGTACAGGAAAATAGTCCAGTATACCTACATTAAAATATATGCCAAGTTTTACTATATTTTCATTACCTAGTTCACTGTCTTTTTGACTTAACTATTTAAAAGCAAATTCTAGGCATCATATTATCTCACCTTTGAAAACTTAATCATGTATCTCTTCAAAGCAAAGCATACACACACATATAACATGATGGCATTGCCACAATTAATAAAATAGTATCTTTTATCATTGAAAACAAGTTCATATTTACATTTTGATGACATTTTAGAGCCATTATTGAGGGCAAATTATTATTCAAAACCATATTAAGACTATATATGGTACATTTAGATGGAAATGGAAAGGTGGAAGGATTTCTCCCATATGCTGCTGATGGCATTTGTGAAAAGATATAACTGTACTGCACCTCTATCAAGTTGCATCTACTCTACTATTGAGGAAACAGGCTAACAATATTCTGCAAAGCAAGTCAGTCGGGATCTAGATTATAAGTATGGTTCCATATGTAAATTGTTAAGAGACAGCTGGGAAGAATGGCAAGAGAAGACTCTGGAATTCAGCTGCAGTGTCATCAATATAGCTTTGGCTGAACGGTCCAATCTACAGTACTCTAGTCCATTTCTGAATTTTTGTTTGATGCAATTTAACATTTCATTTTAACTGTTAACCTAAGGTGTTTTATAAAAGTATTTTAAGCTTGACAGTTTGGGAAGGTGAGACAATGGCATATCTCATGGTCTCTTAAAGCTTTTGCTATTCAATGCTGACCCTTCAGTGAACATTTAGTAAATATTGTCATCCAGAAATGAGAATCATTAACGCTAAGTATTCATTGTGCGAACAGTAACCATCTGGTAAATTAATTCTTATCATACATTTTTTTAAATTAGGCAACAACTCTACAACTTGGAAACATTATTACAAGCCAGCTGTGATTTTGGTAAGTTGTAGAGTGTGTTTAAAGGCAAGAAGGAATGCTACTCTGCTTTGGTGAATTGCCCACAGGACCACGATGACTTCATTGGGTTCCCATTAGTAACATAGTGGACATGTCAAGTTGGCAGTTTAGTATGCCGTGTATTTGGCATTCAGAAAAAGTACGGTATTTTGTTGTAGCTTAGATTTATAATGGTTTTCCAAGTCTTTAGATCTTAAAGCTAAACTTCCTGAAGTAACTTAGTATTTACTTCAGGAGTAGATAGTCGCATAGTGAATTTAGAGAGGAAATGAAAAGAGCTAGACTTGCTGATCTCTCTGTTGTCTGCTTGTTTATTTGTTTGCTTTTGGCGGTTAATGTATTGCTACTTTTTCCGAGGTTGGTATAGTTGTGTAGTGAGTGGAAGAGCAGTGCGTTTTGTGCTGGCTAGCTTCCTCTCTTCTGCAGTTTTGGTAAAATGTATTTTAAATCATGGTTCTTGATCCTTGTGGGTCTCACACCAGACAATAGTTCCCACCTCAGTGAGTTCTTGTCAGGATTCATAATGCATGCCAAGTGATTAGACGAATGTCTATGATTAGTACTGATCAGGAGTCAAAGACCACCAGGAACATACTTTTGGTCAAATACGTAGCTGTATTAGCTTTCTAGAGCAAGTTACACACGTTATGAGGGACATACTGGCAGGATCTCAGTAAGAGAAGGCAAGAAGAAGGGCTTGCACTTGTGTTTGGGTTGCATTGGCAGGTTTTGAGGGGGTGTTTAAAGGGACTAGCGGTCTGTGGTACATTGGATGCTGTCATTTGAAGATTTGCTATATTAATTTTTATCTAGGAAGTGGGATGAGCAAAGGGCATGTAGGGAATTTATTAGTAAAGAAGTAATAAGTCATGTTAGCTGGAAGACTAGAACGCTTGCCTGTTCGCATAGTGCCTTCTGTCTGTGTCAGATGCCATAGAAGAAATAGCTGTTTTTGGCCATGTTTCACTGTCGTCACAAAGTGGCCCTGTCAGGAAATTGATTCTTTTCAGCAGAGAATAGCATGTTCTGTATGTTGACGATCTGTCTGTGTATCAGTGTATGGTAAGTGGTGTTTTCCACTGTCCCTGCTTCATGTCAAGTGCTAGGGAACAGGAGGGAAACTATGCAGTTGAAACGTTTGCAGCTGAGTAAGACGGACCAGCAAACAGTACAGCAGGACAAGTGGAAAAGGGCAGTGGTAGAGGCATGAAACTGCTGAGTTCATCCCTGACTGATGCCAGTTCTGGGTCTTCAAGGATGAAGAGGAGTGAACTAGGCAAAAGGTTTTGGGACAGGAAGGTTTCTGGGCAAAAGCAACTTTATGTGCAAAGACATTGACGTGTGTAAAATCATTTAAATTAGGAAGCAAGGGAGTGGGTAGTACTTTAAGATTGAATTAGTGTGCGGAAGTGATGAATTTGGGAGGGATAAAATCACATTTACCTTTGTTAATCATGCCAAAGAGTTTGAATTTTATTTTGAGAATCCTGGTGGAGTTTCTAAAAGATAGTTGTGGAAATCGCAAATAATATGTTTATTATAAAGAATTGGGTTCATGAAAGCATTTATTCAGCAAAATTCTTCTTGGAAAAGCACTGAATTTAATAACTATCACCGAGGACTATTTGTTAAAACAGTCATTTATTACACTGAGTTTTAGCTCTTTTTATTACTTAAAACTTTTTAATGACAGATCTGCTGGACAGGCTAGCAGTCTATGACACGAATGCAGTTTGGCCTGTCTCTCTGTCAAAAATCTGTGTCCGGGCATTCTTTGTTAATAACTTGGATAGCTAACTTGCCTGTCAACTTTCCCCAGAAAGCCATAACATGCTCTTACTTAATACCCCTGTATGTAGTTCTTATTCTAGACATTACATTTTCAGAGTTACTTTTCCAGTTGTGGTAGAATGACATAACATGCATATTTTGCCGATGTCTTCTTAATATAGCTGCTGGCATTACCCTTTCTCAGGTTGGGAACCGACTATACTTAATTTTCTTTATGTTACATTGTGAGGGAATCTCAAAGTACGTTTTATATTTTAACTAACATAGCTATGCAAATAGTGCATGTATTTAGAATGCATAAATCTTTTTTCAACAATTTCTATATTTTTTTCATAGTAACACATGTACATAATTTAAGAGCTCAAATCTAATTACAAGACCTAAAAAAAAAATTAGCAATCTCCTGACAGCTCTGTCAAAGCAATGACTTCAAGCTCTTTTAAGCATTGGCTGTATCTTCTGGTATTTAATTCTACCTTTTGAAATAATTTGATTGAACTGCTGTTTCCTGATCCCAGGCCTTTCCCACACCTCCAGTTTTAGACACTGTCTATTGACCTCCAGGTGGAAGAATTTGACTTTTTGTTACCACCCCTTTCTCTGCCCCACCTTGAATTATAGGTTGCTTTGCTTATTTATATATGATTAAATAATATTTAATATTGACTCTAATATGAGTATAAATTCTATACTCTTTTTTGTGTATGATTTTTTTAAATAGAATTAATCCTCATTTTCATTTGCTTTATTTATATACCATATATTTACTCATAAATCTCTGATCGGGCAATAAAACTGCTTTTTATGTCAAATGTGTCGGGAAGTCTGTTATGTTCTTTCCTTGGAAATATATATATTTTTCTTCATTTTATTAAACATTGTTGATATTAATTGGAAATATTTTCTTCTTCATTCTGTTCTAATATGGATCCTGGGACAATCCTTTACAATTAACTGTCATTTTGCTGTGCCTTATGCCCTTGAAGAATTCCCTCTCTACCCTCATTTCTTTTAGGCACAGGTTACAGATATCCCAAATGTTCAACTTTTTCAAATTGCATCATCTCAAATATCAAGTACTGCTCTTCCTTCAGTCCTCTTCCTCCTTTCCCCGGGTTCTGTCAAGGAAATGGTAGACACTGTTCGGAGGCAGGCAAGTTCCAGATCTGTGAGTCAGGTCAGGCTGGAGACTTAGCTAACTGTGACACATGAAACTATAACCACAGGCAGAGAGGCACATAGAAAATGAGGACTAGTTACATCAAACCACAGTGGAGTAAGATTATATCATTACACAACTGCCAAACTATTGGAAACCATCGCCCTGCCAAGTTGACACACCTCTTACAGGTTCCATATTCCGTTTACATTGACAGCAAACTGGCCATTCCCCTTGTTGGGCCATAAGCACGTTCCTTGCATAGTCTTGTCCATTAATTGTGTGGAAGCCACAAAGACCATGGGTTAAAAAAAACTCACTGCCATCAAGCCAGTGCCAACTCATAGCGACTTTATGGGACAGGGCAGAACTGCCCCTGTGAGTTTCCGAGATAGCCCCATCATTCTCCCAAGACGTTGACTAGGTAGACCACACTAAATATTATATTGAAACACCATTTCTCTTTAACCGCAGATTTCCTCACGTTGGAGGCATGCATCCTTCAGCAGTTTACTGAGAAAGGGCCATTGAGACATCAATAAAGATAGTGTAAAATTTTGTGAATTTTACGTGATGCCTAACTGTTAAGTACACGTTTATCAGTTTTGACATATACTGTGTAAGCCACACTCCAAAGACAATATTCCCATTAAGACACAACATTTCTGGCATTTCAGAAAGTTCCTTTTCCTCCCCATTCACTGAAGCACCCATTGCTCCGATTCTGTGTACAGAATGTACAGTATGAATGTGTTTCTGGCTTTTTTCATTTGAGACAATATTGTGATCAATCAATGCTTTCTGCATCCGTAATTCGCCCCTTTAATTGCTGAATGTTCTGTCCTATGAATATAACACTGCTTTTTCATTTACCTGTTGGACGTGTTGGCGCTTTCCCATTTTTGCCAACTCTGAATAAAGCAGCTAAGAGCATTCTGTGTTTGAAACTGATGGTGAGTTTGGTGAAGGACTACACACAGATCATCAGTTTACCTTCCAGGGTTCGTACATAGTGTGTTTCCATTCATCCATTGCAGTTTCCTAATGCATCCATGCTTATTCCATGTTTCCCCTGCTTTTTGTTTCCGTTCTTCCCATCCTAATCCTCTGAAACTTTGCCCTTGATTAACTGTTATCTTTTTTATTTTAAAGACGTCATCGTTGGTTATTCTAACATGGGTGGTGAGTTCAGGTCCAGACCTGGGGGATGACTAAGGACCATAGTCCTGGGGACTCCACCCTTCTCTTTCTGACCAGTAAGCCTAGTGTCAGGATTTTGAGCTCTTTTCCACATTCTTCCACTCTATCTGGAACCTTCTAATGTGACCCCTTTCATCGCAGTTGGCAGTGGCAGCTACTGTAGTTTTTCTGGAGACTGCTGTGTTGTGTGGTCAATTGGCTCATCAGACTAATTATTTTCATATGTCTTTTATTTTCACCAGTGTCCTATCCTCTGATGGAGAAAGCCCAGCACCTTAGATGGCTGCATATGAGCTTTTAGAGCATTTTTATTCAAAGATTTTTGTGGCCATTAGGCTTCATCAGATTATCAGGTTGCATGCACTCTTATATTTTATTATTAGTCTTTTCCATTTTAACCATTCTAATCCATATAATATCTATGGTGACCCACTGATGCGGATTTTTTTTGCATTTTTTGCAGTTGTTAGTATTTTGCGGGGGGTGGGGGGTGGATGTGTTCCTGTTCTAGTTTGCGAAATGAATTCTTTCTCTTTTTCTTACCTTGAATTGGAGGTGTCCATTTCAGTGGTCTGTTGAATGTGTTCTGTGACTATTTTCTCCAAACTGATGGCTTGTCACAGTTGATGATCATAGTTTGATAAAGCTGAGTTTGTGTCTTGTTTTGTCTTATTTCATGATCTGTGTTTTGAGGTTCCTAAACCATCTCAGCGCTCATCATTTTATTTGGACTCCTAATTATACTGTTGTTCGGTGCCCTCAAGTCCATTTTGACTCAGAATGACCCGTATGACAGAGTCGAACTGCCTCCATAGGATTTCCTAGTCTGGGAAAGGATATCATCCTTGGTAAAGTAGAGGGTCCATGTGAAAGAGGAGGACCCTCAATGAGAGGCATTGACACAATGGCTGCAACAGTGAGCTCAAATGTAGGAACAATTGTGAGGATGGCGCCGAGTCAAGGAGTGTTTCACGCTGCTGTACATTGGGTTGCTATATGTTGAAACTGATTTGTTAGAACCAAACGAACACCAGCAACAGTCTTTATGGAAGCAGGTTGCCAGATATTTCTCCCACATCCTCTGTGTGGGTTTAAACTACCCATCAGAGTGATCAACTGTGGCATAACCAGGACTCCTTGGATTCCATATTCAAACTAAAGCCAGACTCATTGCCACGAGTCAATTTTGACTTATGTCAACCCTATAGGAGAGACTAGAATCACCCCTTGGGTTTCTGTGACTTTAAATGTTTACGGGTGCAGAAAGCCTCATCTTTCTCCGATATTCCGTAATAAACCAAACCTAATTCACTTCCATCCATAATGCCGACTCATGTGGACCATACAGGACAGGGTAGAACTGCCTCAGCGTTTCCAAGACTGTAACCGTTTATGGGAATGGAAAGCCCTGTCTTTTTCCTGCAGAGTGGCTTATGGTGTTGGATTGCAGCAGACCTTGTGAGTAGCCTAACCACTATACCACCAGAGTGCCTATTCCATAACAGAAATCAGTAAATAGTATCTAATTATGTGTCTGAGGAAAAAAGGTCAGGAAATAAAAGTTAATCCAATTACTTAGAAAGGTGGAATTAAATGCCAGAAGAAACAACTAAGGGTTAAACAAGTTGAAAGTCATTGCTTTTGGAAAAATGTTAAAAATGCAGTCTAATTTGTAGGGATTTCCACAACAAATTCACACTTGTGCTCATCTTGGTTTTGCCAAAGAAGTGTTGATATTTGCTTATTTGAATTCCAATTTAGAAATGAGCTTGCTTTATATTTAGGAGAGATAAGAATTGTTGCCTATAATTCTCCTCATGTTTTCTCTGATTTTGTTTAGTGATTGCTTCTAAACTCATTTTCCCTAGAATGGGTATTAATGTTTTCTGCATAGTAGTGACCAAAATATGTGTTGTTGAAATAGATGTTGAGGAAGTGAGGGGAAAATGGCATGCGATGAGGTTGGGAGGGAGGCAGAAACTACTCGTATTAATAGGTCATACATGATTTTACAGACATTTTGAAAGAGTTAATGTTGCAAAGGTTTGACGGGTGTGATGACAATTGATAGCATAAGCAGATCATGTACTTAGTCTATAAAGAGGCAAAGGAGGACATTGGGAGACCTCTTAGGAACCCTCTTTCAGTAGTTCAAGCACAAACATAATGTGGACATTTCAAAGGATAAGCTTAATACGACTGATGGATAGCGACAAGAAGTTCAAAGAGATAAAAGAATCAAAACTGGCATATGGGTAACTGGTAACATCATTTAATGGAGAAAACCTCAGCAGTGTGAATAGGTTTTGGTAGAAATGAAACGGTGTCTTTTTTCCACTGTGATCAAACCAAGTATTAATGCCAGTTAGGTAATCAGACATGCAAAATCTGAAGTGCAAGGGAGAGGCCTGGGGTGTAGCCAAGTCTTTTGGAGTCATTATTAGTTCGAGGAGGGGCTCAGGACTGAGTCCCGAGGAGATTGCATTTGTGTTTAGTGGTGTTGAGGAGCCCATGCAGGAGAGCGAGGAGAAAGGACAAGTGAGGAAGAAAGCAGGATGTGGATGGGCAGGATGTGGTGGCAGGAAAGCCAGTGTTACCAGTGCCACTGCAAGCCAGGGCAAGTGACTGAGTAAATGCTGTCCAGTGTACGTGGGATCACAGCACTTTATGTGGGTTGGTGCGGGTCACAGCCAGATGGGAATCAGTCGAGAAAGTTACACGGGACACAATTGCTGCTAGTATGGCTTATGATGTTTCTTTGTCACTATCCATTGATTAATTATTTAATGGTTAACATTGTCTGTTTTGATTTTAGGGCAGATATCAATCCTCCACAGCAAAGCAGATAATATTAGGCAACAATGTGTAGTCTTTCTTCAGTATATTAAAGTTTTCATCTTCAGGTAGGATGTCAACTGAGACACTTTGAATATTGCTTGAATTTCTAATTGTCCTTGTACTCAGAGTGTAGCTTAAATGTATGTAATGTATTGAATTTTTTGGTAGGTACCTGAAAGTACAAGACACCGAGAGTCATGTTCCTGTCCATCCCTATGAGGCTCTGGAGGCTCAGCTTCCCTCAATGCTGGTTGATGAGCTTCATGGACTGCTCTTATATATTGGACATCTGTCTGAACTTCCCAGTGTTAATATAGGAGCATTTGTAAATCAAAACCAGACTAAGGTTTGATGTCTTTCTTACTTTTGAAATTATCAAAATTTTCTCCCCATAAGGAATGCTTGAGAGTAAGGGTTTAGTCCAGAGTGCAGCTTGTGAACGTGGTTATTCTCACATCTGTTCAGCCTGGTTCTCTTATCTGTGCATCTACTTATAGGTCACCATTATTGGAGTGTTGTGTGTATTTGGGGTGTTTTTTTCATATTCACAAATAGGTATCTGCCTGTCTTGTGTGTTATTAAGAATATTTTCTTCCAACCACCCTTTGGAAATTGTCTGTGCTTACCAGTTTGCTGTCCTACTTGAACTTTGCTTGCAGAAGTTCATAATGGCCACACTGTTTCAGGTCAGCTGACAATTTCCCCAATTCGGGTGTCTCTGTTTTCGTTTAGCTTCTCCTAGTCGTTACTCATTCCATTTGTCTACCCTTATTCTCAGGGTTCCAGAATTATCACCTCTAACTTTTCATTTCGTCTCTTAATGTCTTTGTTGTAGGGGGTTTGGGTAGCATTGTCTGCCTCGAGGTCTCTTAACTTGAGCTTCTTTAAAAAAAAAATCATTTGGGGGCTTCTACAGCTCTTATCACAGTTCACACATACATCCATTTGGTCATGCACATTTGTACATATGTTGCCATCATCATTTTCAAACATTTTCTTTCTACTTGAGTCCATGGTATCAAACTCATTCCCCCCACTTCCCCACCCTCCCTTGCTCATGAACCCTTGATAATTAAACTTGTCTTCGCGGTATGACAATAGCCCCTACTTTGTGGACTTTCATTGAAATATCTAAATGTTCAATACATAGTAATCCAAAATTCTCCTTAAAATTATTTAACGAAGTTCTCAAGAACTTTTTAAATAACAGACATTTTATGTACTAACTAAATGCTAAAAGAAAGTTAAGAAAATAAGTGTTTTTCAGCTGTCATCCGCTGCCTTGTAGCTTTAGCTGAATCAGAGATTAGTTAGAAGGCACCTGTTCTATACAAATCTTCACTGACGCATACGGAAATAGATCTTGCTTTCAACGTTCTTCAGGGAAAGAATCCTCTAAGAACAAAGACAAGAAATTTTCCCTGAACTTTTATATAACTTTTGGCTAATTGGTTCTTTATCCTTGTGCTAATGCAAGAATGTTGTCATTCGCTGTAGAATACCTAATAAAGTATGAATTCTCAATTCCTGTTGATAATGTCATTCACAGCTCTTTCCACCATCATGGCATTTATTACATCTCTACTTAGATATCCATTGGCTGGTGCTAGAAATCCTTCATATCTTGGGTGAAAAATTAAGTAAGTTTATGAATTTTCATTTATGCTTTTAAATCCAAATGTTTAATGTTTTCTAAAGTTATGAAAAATTATGAATACATTCTGATGGTTGAAAAATAAAAACTCAAGTGGTAATCATAGTAAGAAAGTGAAAGTCCTACTCTCCATTCCCAGAATAATACTGGGAGCAGCTCGGTCTCTCCATTGTGTTCATTCATATTTTCTGTGTATTTGTGTATATATGTAAAAACACAGTGTTGGGTTTTTGCTTGTTTTTCCATCCACAAGCGGTACTGTCTTACTGTTTTGGTCATTTTGAAGTTTTTTTGTTATCAGTTCAAGTTAACGCTCATAGTCCAAATTGATTCTATTGAAGGATTATATATAATGAATCTACCATACCTTATTTATATATTTATTATATATTGTGAATCTACCACACCTTATTTAGCCATAGCTCTTTTTAACATGGTTGCTATACGTTAGAATTGACGTGTTGTCAGTAAGTTTTCTTAGGTTTACTATGAACTGGTGGTTTAATGGACTGGTGGTATAGCAAACGGATGAGTGTTAACTGCTAACTAAAAGACTGGAGTCTGAAACACCAGTTGCTCTGAGGAGAAAGATCTGACAGCCGGCTTTCATAATAATTACAGCCTGTGTAGTGAGTAGTTCTACTCTGTCTATAGGGCCACTATGATTTGGAACTGATTCAAAGGTAGTGGTTTTTATTTGTTTGTATTTTTGAGCTTTAATTTTTTTTCTTTTAGACTACAGATATTGATTCAGTGAACTTCCTTGTATATGCATATATGTATGTACTTCCTCAAATACATATACATGTTTTTTTGTGAAACAGGTTCATAGATGTGGAAAGTTTACATATTATCCTAATAATTTATAAACTTTCTTGTTCACTAAGTCTAACCAGTTTATATAAAATAACGGAATGTGTTTTTGTATCATACTCTTATAATAGTAGATATTAATCCTTTTATCTACTAATAATCAAAATTAATGGGGACTCTTTTTTTACTTTGTAATTTCCTGATTACTAGTTAGCTGCTAACCACCAGGTAAGAAGTTCAAAACCACTCGGTGTTCCCCAGGAGAAAGAGGAGGCTTTCTACTCCTGTAAAGTTTTACAATTTAGGAAGCCATGTCCTTAAGGTTGCTGTGAGTCAGAATTGACTTCATGGCAATGGGTATATGGATTCTATTTTAAATAATATTTCCTTAGCTCACTGCCTATGTAGACTTACTCTGATAGCAGTACAACTTTTGATGTCTTGGTTTTCTGGATTTATATGCCATTGAAAATATTACATGTGACCAGTTTATTCCTAATATTTTAAATGCTTAATTGTTTGAAAACATGCATGGCGATTTTCTAGTTGCTTTAAAGAAATAACCACATTAAGAAAAGTTTATTAAATGGTACTTGGAAGAATTGGGAACTTTTATTTATTTTTTTGTTTTAATCATTTCATTCAGGGCTCATACAGCTCTTATAACAATCCATACATCAATTGTATCAAGCACATTTGTGCATATGTTGCCATCAACATTTCCAAATTCTTGAGCCCTTGGTATCAGCTCATTTCCCCCCTTCCCTCCCCACCCTCCCACCCTCGTGAACCATTGATAATTTGTAAGTTATTTTGATTTTCATATTTTACACTATCCACTTTCTCTATTCATCCACATTTCTGTTTCTCCCTCGGCGGGGGCTAGGGACAGGGATGTATGTATGTATGTCGATCATTACAATGGGTTCCTCCCTATACCCTCTCCCTTCCCCAGTTCCCCTCTCCTCATTGTATCAGTACTCATTATTGGGCCTGAGGGGTTTATCTGTCCTGGATTCCATATGTTGAGAGCTCTTATCTGTACCAGTGTACATGCTCTGGTCTAGCCAAATTTGTAAGACAGAACTTGGGTCATAATAGTGGGGGAAGGGGTTTGGTTGGGGGAGCACTGAAAAACTAGAGGAATGTTGTGTGTTTCGTTCGTGCTGTACTGCACCCTGGCTGGCATATCCCTTCCTTATGACCCTTCTGTGAGGGGATGTCCATTTGTCTACAGATGGACTTTGGGTCTTCACTCTGATCCCCCTCGTTCACATTGGTTGTTCGTTTTGGGTCTTCTGATACCTGATCCCATCGACACCTTCTGATCACATGGATTGGTGTGCTTCTTCCATACTGTGTGCTTCCATTGGTGTGCTTCTTCTTTATTGCTTCCCTGCTAGATGGCTACTTGTTTAACTTCAAGCCTTTAAGACCAAGATACTATATCTTGTAATAGCCAGGCACCATTAGCTTTCTTCACCACATTAACTTATGCGCCCATTTTGTCTTTAGTGATTGTGTCTGAAAGGTGAGAATCACAGAATGCCATGTTATTAGAACAAAATGTTCTTGCATTGAGGGAGGAATTGAGTAGAGACCCAATGTCCGTCTGCTACCTTAATGCTTAACCTATAAATATATGTACATAGATAGACCTATATCCCCGTTGTTATATACTACTACATATTATATTAGTGTACTTACATTTGCGCATGTCTATGTTTTTACCTCTATAAATATCTTTTGCCTCCTAGTTCTTTCCTCTATTTCCTTTACATTCCTCCTGTCCCACTATCATGTTCGCCCTTCAATGTTCTCTGTACTTCCTCTCGGCTACATTGCACTTGATCAAACCCCACCCGGCATTCTGTGCCCTCCTTGCCATCGATTTTAGATCTTTTGTTGTTTCTATGTCGATTGGGAACTTTTATTTATTTATTTATTTATTTAATCGTTTTATTAGGGGCTCGTACAACTCTTATCACAATCCATACATACATCAATTGTGTAAA